AAAGCATTATTTATTCAAAAATTTGTCCACGAATGTCCATAGCAGCTTTATTTCTTTGTCATACCCAAAGACTGGAAACAACCAGAATGTCCTTCAACAGATCAATGGATAAAGAAATGGTGGTTTATCCCTATCAGCAACAAAAATAAATATACAATGGATACACACTCCCACAGAGAGGAATCTCAGAGCAATCATGCTGGGTGAAAGGAACTAGACACAAAAGGGTCCATTCGATGTGATTCCATTGGTAGAAAATTCTAGAAAATGCAGGCTACCCTGTAGTGATAGAAAGTAGGTCAAGGCAGGGAGAGGCAGTGGGAGGGGTTCTGAAGAGGCACAAGGAAGCTTTGGGGCATAGGAAGTATGTCCTTTACTTTGATTATGGTGATGGTTTCACAGGTGGGTACGTAAGTCAAGTTGACTCAATTGTGCCCTTGAAATAAGGACAGTGGTGTCTGTCAATCAGACTTCAACACACTGCTAACATTTTCCCCACCATTTTGGTACCGGTCAGCCCTGCTGCTGTCACAAGATACCCCAGGCTGGGTGGTTCAAAAAACAAAACATTTATTTCTCACCGTTCTGGAGGCCGGGAAGGCCAAGATCAAAACACTGGCAGGGTCGCTTCCAGGGGAGAATTCTCTTCGCGGCTCACAGATGCCAGCTTCTCGCTGCATCCCCACGGGATGGAGACAGAAGGCAAGCTCTCTCCTGTCTCTTTTTATGAAGGCACCAGTCCCATCATGGGGGCCACACCCTCATGACCTAATTACCTCTCAGAGGCCCGGTCTCCAAAAACCGTCACATTGGGGGGGGGGTGGCATTAGGGCTCCAACATGTGAATTTTAGGGGGGCACAAACATTCAGTCTATTACAATTTTTTTTTTTTTGAGGAAGATTGGCCCTGCCAATCCTCCTCTTTTTGCTGAGGAAGACTGGCCCTGAGCTAACATCTGTGCCCATCTTCCTCTGCTTTATACGTGGGACACCTGCTTTGGCATGGCTTCCTGAGCAGTGTGTAGGTCTGCACCCGGGATCCGAACCAGCAAAACCCGGGCCACTGAAGCGGAACATGCGAATTTAACCACTGTGCTACCAGGCTGGCCCCTAATCATCATAATTTTTATTTTACTTTTTTTCCTTTTCCTCCCCAAAGCCCCAGTACATAGTTGTAAATCACAGTTGCAAGTCCTTCTAGTTCTTCTATATGAGACGTCGCCACAGCGTGGCTTGATGAGCAGTGTGTAGGTCCACACCCAGGATCCGAACCAGTGAACCCTGGGCTGCCAAAGGGGAGTGCATGAGCTTAACCACTATGCCACCGGGCCAGCCCCTCATAACAATTTTTAAAATGACAATGTTTAGGGGGCCAGCCCCATGGCAGGGCGATTGGGTTCACGTGCTCCACTTCGGCAGCCTGGGGTTTGAGGGTTCAGATCTCGGGCGCCGACCTACATACGGCTTGTCAAGCCATGCTGCGGTGGCATCCCACGTACAAAGTAGGGGAGGATGGGCAACAGATGTTAGCTCAGGGCCAATCTTCTTCACTAAAAATAAAAAAAATAAAATGACAATGTTTAAACACACAAAACCCCTCAGAGATGACGATGAATAGACCTGGACGAACATGCTTGAACTAAGTTTGGTGCGGACGCACGACTAGGGAAGGGACCCTTCTGCAGCTATGCCTTTTTGACATTTTGGGTTTGGCGCCACGTAAATGCGTTACCCATTCAAAACTGTAAATTACAGAAAAAGACAAGATTGAAAAAAAAAAAAAGATTCAGTGGTTTGGAACTGGGAAGAACTGGGTCCAAATCTTGGCTCTTCCAAGCTGTGAAACTCAGCCCAGTGTCTGAACACGTGGGAACCTCAGTTTCCCCATCACTCCAAAAGGGAGAAGAGGACTGGCTTGAGGATGACGCGGATGGACTCTGCACGTGCCTGATGGCATGAAGGTGAGTGCTACATCCACGTGCACGGTTATAGCTATTATTGTTTCCTGAGTGAGTTCCAGACTTGCACCCTGGGGCACAAAGGCCGCCAGGCTCGCGCCCGCACAAGCTCCCAGGCTGGGCGGACTGAGAGGCGGAGTGGAGAGGGGGAGGGTGCCTTGGATGGAGGCTGCTCGGTTCCTTTCTGGGGTCCCAGCCCAGAATCTGAGTCATTCTCTCTGCCCCGAGCCTCTGAGGCCCCTGCAGGAAAGCTGATCTTTCTTGGTGACCTGTCTGTGACCAGAGGCTTGCAGGACAGGGCATGGTCAGTGCCGGGGATGTTGGGGGCCATCCCCTGGACAGAGGCTCAGCAGCTTCCGTTGGGATGTCTGCATACATGGCCTCAATGCTCCTCTGGGCTCGTCTGGGGAGAATAGGGCACAAGTCCCCGCCTTTAGTGCATTTTCCAGGCTCTTCCCTCAACCCGCGTTACCCTTTCTTTACCCCCTCTGTCTGAATAATCTTAGCATCCTTCAGCCTCAGGACCCAGACCCCAAGAAGACTTGCCTGACGGGATGATGCCATTGGTTCCTGCTCCGGGCTCTTCTGGGTCCCCGTGCTTCCCCCACTACAGCACCGAACATCCCGTATTAAAGTCAAATGGCTAAAATAATCAGAATTAACAGTGCTAAGAAGGACAGACTGGCATCATGTGCCTCCTGATATCTTGCATGCAAAAGGACACAGTAGCACGGCCCCCAGGTGCACAACCGGGAAGAAGCAGCAGGCAGAGGCAAAGGGGGGACGTTCCGCAACTTTGAAGTGCACACGTCAAAAATGTGGATGTTGGGGCCAGCCCGGTGGTGCAGCGATTAAGTGCACACGTTCCGCTTCGGCGGCCTGAGGTTCGACTGTTTGGATCCCAGGTGTGGACATGGCACCGCTTGCAAGCCATGCTGTGGTAGGCGTCCCACATATAAAGTAGAGGAAGGTGGGCACAGATGTTAGCTCAGGGCCAGTCTTCCTCAGCAAAAAAAAGAAGAGGATTGGCGGCAGATGTTAGCTCAGGGCTAATCTTCCTCAAGAAAAAAAAAAATTGTGGGTGCCGTGAAAGACAAAGAGGAACCGGTCCAAGTTTAGGGGGACCGAAGAGACAACGTCAAAACACAACCTGTGGTCCTGGATGGGATCCCGACAGGGAAAAACACAGCTATAAAGGACATGATGGGCACAACTGACGAAAGTGGAATATGAACTGTAGATTAGATAACTGTGTTATGTCAGGGCCGAAGTTCCCGGAGCGGCTAACTGAACTGCGGTTACGTAAGAGGGTGTCCTCGTTCTTAGTCAAAGGCAGAGGCTGTCAACACACCTGCGACACACCCTTGAATGGTTCGGGAAAAATAACACGTGCGTGTCTGTGTGTGTTATTATCACTCTTTCTCTAAGTGTGTGCGTGTTGTAGAATCTGTGTGCATGTATCTGTGTGTATTACATATGTGCATGTGTGTGTATACGTGTGCGTATGTATTATATGTATCTATAGGTATACGTGTGTCTCTCCACACAGAAATGTGGCTCTCTCCATATGTATATGGAATTTGTGTATATTGTATGTGTATGTCTCTCTCCATGTGTGTTAACATGCCTCTACATACATGTGTGTACAGTGTATTTATTTCTGTATATGGTGTGTTAAATATGTCTCTGCGTGGGTTATATATATTTCTGTATATATGTGTTATATATATGTCTCTATGTGTATGATGTATGTTTCTGTGTGCATGTGTATTATATATATGCCTCTGTGTCGTGTGCGTTTCTGTGTGCATGTGTATTATATATATGCCTCTGTGTCGTGTGCGTTTCTGTGTGCATGTGTATTATATACACGCCTCTGTGTCATGCGTGTTTCTGTGTGCATGTGTATTACATATACGCCTCTGTGTCATGCGTGTTTCTGTGTGCATGTGTATTACATATACGCCTCTGTGTCATGCGTGTTTCTGTGTGCATGTGTGTTATATATACGCCTCTGTGTCATGCGTGTTTCTGTGTGCATGTGTATTATATATACGCCTCTGTGTCATGCGTGTTTCTGTGTGCATATGTATTATATATACGCCTCTGTGTCATGCGTGTTTCTGTGTGCATGTGTATTACATATACGCCTCTGTGTCATGCGTGTTTCTGTGTGCATGTGTATTATATATGTCTCTGTGTTATGTCTATTTCTGTATATATGTGTTTTATGTATGTCTTATGTGTGTTACGTATATTGCTGCATATATGTGTATTATATATGCCTTTGTATGTGTACTATACATATGTGTCTCTCTACATGTAAATATGTGTATTATACATATGCTTCTCTTTGTAATGTTTGATGTATATCTCAATATATTTGTGTGTATGTTATATACACATATATATGGCTATATTTTTTATATATATTATGTATGTCTCTTTCTATAGATGCATGTGATACAGCTATGCACATCATATATATGTATATACATAGAGAGAGAATGATAAAGCTGAGAAACAAGGTAACAATTGATGGGTCTCTATGAAGAGTATACAAGATGTCTGTATTCTTCTTGCAATATTTCTGTAAATTGAAATAATTTCAAAATTAAAAATAAAAAAAAGAAAGGAAGAAATCGCAGGCTTAATGGTCTGTCTCCCCCGGGCAAGGTTTTCCACAAAGGATCGACAGTGTGAGCCATTTTCAAGCACCTACAAAAATGTTTGAGGGGCCGGCCTGGTGGCGCAGTGGTTGAGTGAGCACGTTCCACTTCTCGGCGGCCCGGGGTTCACCGGTTTGGATCCGGGGTGTGGACATGGCACTGCTTGGGAAAAGCCATGCTGTGGTAGGCGTCCCACATATAAAGCAGAGGAAGATGGGCATGGATGTTAGCTCAGGGCCAGTCTTCCTCAGCAAAAAAAGGAGGACTGGCAGTAGTTAGCTCAGGGCTAATCTTCCTCAAAAAAAGAAGTTTAAGACTTGAAAACAAACCATATCTTTTCGCAAATTTGGAAATGAAAAAACCCTGCAATAGCAAAGTTAATAAATGTTTAATTAAATGTCTACAAAATGTCCCCTGACATGATCTTAACTGCAGCTCAACTCCATGTAGATAATTCATCCCAGTGCCGTGGTCTCCCCAGTGGCCTGCGAGTTCTTGAGCACAGGACCACGTCTGCCTGCTTGGGGCTGTGTCCCCAGTGTGCGGCATACAGCCTGGTGCACAGTAGGTGCTTTAGCAATGTTTGCAGAATGCATGAAGTGAGTCTGTGCTGGGTCTGACCTCCATGATGGGATCCTGATTTGCACTGAGTCCCTGAGGCAGAGAGGCCCATCCCCATATTTGCAGGGCTATACGTCCAAATATTTAAAGTTCTACGTCAAGCTGACTGTGAGAGGCTGTGCCTCAGTGGCCCCCAATGCTTCATGCTGAATGACGTCCCTGCTCTTGCGTAGCTTTGGCTATTGGGATGTCAGCCCATGTGACACAAGCAGAAGCTGATACATCTTGGGTCTTGGGTCTCGTCGTCTTGAAACACTGCCATCGCCATGTGAGAAACTCAGGCCATCCTGCTGGAGAGGACACATGGAAGAGAACTGAGGGGTCCCAGCTTACAGCCCTAGCAAGCCACGAGACATCTAAAGGTCCACCTGGGACCACGCCTCCCCAGCTGAGCTCCAGGAGGCTGCAGTTGCACGAGTGACCCCTGGGGAAAAAAGTCACCCAGCCGAGTCCACTGCATGTGGCTTTGAACCCCGACATTTTGAGAATGTTTGTTACACAGCAATAGAAAACCAATGCGCTAACTAACCGTGGTAAAATAATAAAGTACGCCCTATCCTTCCACTTTAGTAAATAGACCTTCAAAACGATATGGAAAGCTAGGTTCAAATTTATTAGTTCTTTTTTGTTTTACCGAGATTTTTTTCTGTCAGATTTTTTAATTGTGGTAAAATACATATAAGAAGTGGAGCAGGGCCGGCTCAGTGGCGTAGTGGTTAAGTTCACACACTTCTCTTCAGCAGCCCAGAGTTCACAGGTTCGGATCCTGGGTGTGGACCTAGCACTGTTCGTTAAGCCAGCGTCCCACATAAAATAGGGGAGGATTGGCACAGATGTCAGCTCAGCAACAATCTTCTTCCAGCAAAAAGAGGAAGATTGGCAACATATGTTAGCTCAGGGCCAATCTTCCTTACAACGAAAAAAAAAGTGGGCCATATTAGCCATTTTAAAGTAGACAATTCAGTGGTGTGAAGTACATTCATGATATTGGACACCACCACCACTACCTAGTTCCAGAACTTTTTCATCACCCCAAATGGAAATTCTGTACCCACGATCTAGCAGAGAATGTGTGGGCTCCAGCACCCGCAACTCCTCACCTGGCGAGGGGTTCACTGCAGAAGGGGCAGCGTCAGAATAGAGGTCCCTCTTGACCTGGTCAGAGGCTGGTGCCGGCAGCAGGAAAACACCAGCCTGAAGGCAGCAAGCAGAGGCTTAAGGAATCTTCAACAGGCAGAGCAGGGCAGTGTGGTGAAGGAGGGCTTGCTTCAGACAAGGTGGGCAGCTCCCCTCAGCTCTGGCCCACTACAAGCAAGCAGGACTGCAGACCACTCCTGTTGGACCTCCCAATTTTGCAGGAGAAGCCGAAAATCTAGATTTCCATTAGAAATCTCCTGATGTTCAAAATTCTGGGCAGGCCCAACCAAGCATATCTTCAGGTGGGGTTTGGCCAGTGGGGCCCAGCGTAGGATCGTGCAGGGTCTGTGCCTAAAACATGGGTGGGGGTGGGGTGGGTGCCAGAGGAAAGCTGGGGGAGGGGGCTTGGCTTCTGTGCAAATTGGAGCAGGCAACAGGATTGTGACTCGTGGGGGCAGCTTTAGCTGCACTCGATGCCAGCCCCTGGCAGAACTCAAAATAGAACTCGGTTGGGGCAGGGTTTTTTTTTTTTAAATAGCTTTTTTATTTTTTATTTTTATTTTTTGAGGAAGATTAGCCCTGAGCTAACATCTGCTGCCAATCCTCCTCTTTTTGCTGAGGAAGACTGGCCCTGAGCTCACATCCATGCTCATCTTCCTCTACGTTATATGTGGGATGCCTACCACAGCATGGCTTTTGCCAGGCGGTGCCATGTCCACACCTGGGATCCAAACCGGCGAACCCCAGGCTGTCAAAGCAGAACGTGCACACTTAACCGCTGCACGACTTGGCCGGCCCTTGGAGTAGGTTTAAGCCCAAAATTAGTCCCAGTCTTCCTGGAAAACTTTATCCCCCTCACATCTCCTCTCTCAGACCTCTCTGTGTTTCAATTTCCTCTTTGTTATGCCCTTTCTCAGCTTACCAATAACCGATGTTGTGGTTGGTCCGGCCCTTGTGGTTCTTACTATGATCGCAATATGCTCTTCAGCAATGACCATCAGGAAACTTTGAAAAAACAAAGGTTTGTTATTTACAGGACCTGGAAATTACACAGCACGCCTGGGGCCACACAGCAAGGTCACAGGGAGAAAGAGAGAGAGAGTGTGCGGGCTTGGGGTTCTGCTTTTATTGGGGTCAAGGGTGGGGACCTGGGGTTTTGTGGGCTCACTCTTTATTGGTAAATTTAAAACACGAGAGAGGGAATTTAAAGCACAGGGAGAGAAAAAACAAGTGACCCAAATGGTGAGTTACAGAAATCAGCCAATATCTCTGAAACAAAGGAGGCTCGGTACGGGGAGACGTCCTGGCCCTTTATCTAGTTGTGCGGCCGGCCGCGTGTTTATCTGAGAGTGATGCCTCGGCAATCAAAGCTTAGGTCAGGTACTTGCATCACAAAAAAGAAGAAGAAAACTGTCAGGGTTTATGCTACACTCTTCTTCAAAAAGGAGATTAAAGCCATCCTGTGTCAACCTCATAGGGTATGCTAAGGGAATGAATGGACGTAAAATACTTAAAATAGTGCCGGCACAGAGCGGGCACTGTGGAAGCGTTGGCTAATGTATTAGCTATTTATTGTATTAGCTACATAACAAGTGGCTCAGAACAACAAGACACATTTATTATCTCATAGTTTCTATGGGTCAGGAGTGTGGGAGCGGCTCAGCTGGGTGGTTCTGGCTTGAGGGTCTCAGAAAGCTGCTGACAGATGTCATCAGAGGCTGCCTCATCTGAAAGCTTGACAGGGGCTGGAGGAGGTGCTTCCAGGATAGCTCCCTCCAGCGGCTGACAAGCTGATGTTGGGTTGTTGGGTGGGGGCCTCAGTTCCTCACCATGTGGATCTCTCTCAAAGGCTGCTTGAACATCCTCACAGCATGGCAGTCAGCTTCTCCCAGAACAAGGGATCTGATCAAGAAGAAGGCAGGGGCTAGCCCGTGGCGTAGTGGTTAAGTTCGGTGCACTCTACTTCGGTGGCCCAGGTTCACAGTTCGGATCCCAGATGCAGACCTACACTGCTCCTCAGCCCTGCTGAGGCAGCGACCCACGTATAAAACAGAGGAAGATCGGCACAGATGTTAGCTCAGGGTGAATCTTCCTCAAGCAAAATAAAAAGGAAGATTGGTGACAGATGTTAGCTCAGGGCGAATCTTCCTCACACACACACACACACACACAAAAGACAGAGAGAGAGACAACAAGGCAGAAGCCACATGTTTTTATGACCTAACCTCAGAAGTTACACACCATCATTTCAACGATCTGCGTTTGGTAATATGGTAGGGAGAAATGACACAAGGGTGTGACTCCCAGAGGCAAGGCTCGTTGAGCTGTTTTGAATAAAGGAAGCATCTCATGGATGCTAAGGACACAGCTGTGAGTCAGCTAGCCTGATTTCAAATCCTAGCTCTTTCCCCATAACTGGCAGACCTTGGACAACTACTACTTGATCTCTCTTTCCTTGTGTCCTCATCTTTAAAATAGAATAACAGCAAGACCTACCTCATTTGGAGTTGCCATTAGGATTAAATGAATATATAATCACTTTAGAACAATGCCTGGCATATATGGAGCGCACAGTAGGTATTCACTGCTATTTTTACTATAAGCAGCCCCTCCGCTCGTGGATCAGCTCCTCCCGTCCCACCCACCAGAAGCACCAATGATTGGAGGGTAGTAAAGAGCAACTGAGGAGCCCCAGTAACCCAGATCCTAGAGATACAGATGGAAAGATGCTGTGGATGAGGCTTTGTCTTGCCCCACATGGAAATATCCCAGGGGCAGGGACTTCATTCTGCTGCCACAGACAGGGAAAAAAAGCCAATTTCATGGCTTCCCTTTTTTTTTTTTTTTTCAGCCCTTAGCTAACATTTGCTGCCAATTCTCCTCTTTTTTTTTTTTTTTTTTTTTTTTGCTGAGGAAGACTGGCCCTGAGCTAACAAGCGTGCCCATCTTCCTCTACTTTATGTGTGGCATGCTGCCACAGCATGGCTTGACGAGCAGTGTGTAGGTCCACACCTGGGATCCCTACTGGCGACCCCTGGGTCGCCGAAATGGAACGCACAAACTTAACTGCTATGCCACTTGGCCGGCCCCCTCATGGCTCCCTTTTCTGAGGAGAGATTCTAGCCCACATGTCACCCTTCTAATGTTACACACTTTGACCAGAGTAGCTGACCATGAGAGGGGGTATGTCTTGCCCACCCTTATGGCCCCAGCACAGTAACTGGCACACAGTAGGTGCCCAAGAAACAACTGATCAGGGTGGCTGTGCCCTTGCCGGGTCAGAGGACACGCTCCACAGAGCAGTTTTTAGGACGAAATCCAGAGCCAGCTGGACACAGCCTTTTCACACATTCTTTTATAGCTTGTTCACAGCAGGTGCCTCTAAGAGCTTCTGGCTTGTTTTGCGCCCTCTGAAACACAGCACAGAGGAAGACGCCCCTGAGAAGTGGACCATGGGAAAGCCATCAGCTTGGGAAAGGAATTGATCATTTCTCTCTGTGCAAGAAGCCAGGGAGGCCAGGGGCTGGGGGTGGTGAGGTCAGCTGCCAGGACAGATGGTAGCTGTCTGGATGTACTCCTCACCAAGGTTTTCCTCCCTGCCCTCCCCATCTGCCTGTCCCTGCTGTTGGGATCTGCCATCCTGGCGTCTGGCCCGGCCGAGTGTGCGAGTGGTGACCTGCACGTCAGTCCTGGGGCGTGAAGTTTCAGATTCCAGAGGCTGAGCTGGCTCCGAGCCCTGCTGAGTCAACTCTGTTTTTCTCGCTGGAGCTCTGAGCCAACCTGCCACGGGTTCTTCCTGGCAGGAGGGTTTTCTACGCCAGCCTCAATTTCCTAACAGGGTACAGGAGCGTTGGTGGGGATGGAGGGGGTGGACTTTGGCAAAAGTTTGTTGAATGAATGCTTAACCTTGTGGCATGGACGTGGTCCAGCCCCACAGCCTCACTCAGTGCTTGGTTTGTCTCAACCCTGCCCCTACGCTGGGCTCAGACTGTTGGGATCTCTCCACCAGTCTGGGATTCCATAGAGGAGAAGAGAGGACTTTGTTGAATGAATTAATGAAGGGGGGGCTTCCTTCTATGTATCCCCTCTTCCTGTTCCGAGGTTCCTGCTTTAATACGGGCAAAGATCGACACCGCAGACCCCGAGGACAGAGAGTGGGCGGTGGGGAGCGAGGCCCCGAGCTGGAGACAGAACACGACACACCAGGGTCCTGCCACCAGGGCACCCAGTTGTAGGGGCGGGATGAGGGATGTTCAAGAAATCCACAAACACATCTGCAATGACGAAGCCCGGAGCCGGAAGGAGCGTGGGAGCCGGAGAAGTCCCGGGGGGCTCGGCCTGGTCTTCGGACGCTCCCGGGAGCCTCCTGGAGACGGGGATGTTTGAGGCACGTCGCCGGCTCCCTGCCCGACCCTGCTGGACTGAGCGCACGGGGGCCCTTTCTCATTCCTCCGCCCGCCCTCTCTGCCAGCTTCTGCCTTGGGGAGGGGGTCAGGAACGTCACCCGCCTGCCCGGGCCCCGCCGAGGCCAGCGCCCTTCCCCCCAACCCTCCCCCACCACCCCCCCGAGCGCGGCGGAGGGTGGGGGGCTCAGAATTCCGGCGCTGGGAAGGGGACCGTGGGGAGAAGAAGAGTCACGTCTCCCATGGTCGCCAGAGAAGCCACATCAAGGCCTGGCGGGAGGAGCCAGAGTTTTGCACCCCCGGGGAGCCCCCCACCCCCTATCACAAACTGGCCTCCAGGGCCAGAACCCCCCCCCCCGGCAGCACGCCCCGCCCCCGGCACTCCCCGCGCCCCGCCTCCCGGGCGCCCCCTCCCACTTCCGCACCCGCTTTATAAACGGGGGCGTCAAGCGGACGCACCAAACTTAGAGGGCCAGCAGCCGCGATCCGAGGCTTCCCTGTGGCTTCTCCACCCGAGCGCAGCTGCGCCAGGACCACTGTGTCTCCAGCCCTCGCATCTCGAGCCCCCGCGTCCCCGCGCCCAGGCCACCACGGAAGGATGCACCGTGCGCCGACGGCCGGAGCAGCCCTGGTGCTGTGCGCCGCCACCGCAGGGCTGCTGAGCGCGCAGGGCCGCGCGGCGCCCACAGAGTCGCCGCGCTTCGCGTCCTGGGACGAGATGAATGTGCTGGCGCACGGGCTCCTGCAGCTCGGCCACGGGCTCCGCGAGCACGTGGAGCGCACCCGTGAGCAGCTGGACGCGCTGGAGCGACGTCTGGGCGCCTGCGGGGCCGCTTGCAAGGAGCCCGGGGTGTCCAGCGCGCCCCCGCACGCCCCGGCAAATCTGGTCCCCCGCGGCGAGGCCGCCCCCGAGACCCTCGGCAGCCTGCAGGTACGTGCGCTCCTAGGGGAGGGGGCCGCATCCGGGGTTCCTTGAGTCCTCCTGCTCCGGCCTCAAAGGATCGACGGGTGGGTGAGTGGAGAGATTGGTGGCAGAAGGCTGGGTCCTCACCACGGTTTTTACGCCCTCCCCAGACTCAGCTCAAGGCTCAGAACAGCAGGATCGAGCAACTCTTCCAGAAAGTGAACCAGCAGCAGCGGCATCTGGAGAAGCAGCGCCTGAGAATCCAGAATCTGCAGAGCCAGGTGCCGGCTGCTTGCCCCAGGACGGGAGGGAGGTCGAAGCTGCACCTGTGGGGCTCTGGACTTGGAGCCGGGCAGGTTGGGCAGCCTGAGCCAGCCAGACCTGACCACCTCCTCCCTTCCTGTCCCAGGTGGACCTCCTGGCCCCCATGCACCTGGGCCATGGCGGGGCTAAGTCTGCCGGGAGGAGGAGGCTACCCAAGATGGCCCAGCTTGTTGGCCCGGCGCACAATATCAGCCGCCTGCACAGTGAGTGTCCAAACATTCGTTGTCCTCTGGCAGGTTCCCTGCGCCACAGACACACATACACCTGCCATTCCTGTCCCCCTTGTCAGGTCCGCCTTACTGAAAAGGAGAAAGGCCCTGGCCTTGGGTCCCTGTGGGCTCTGGGGAAGGGCTGGTGTGGGTACCTCCCTTCTCAGCCCTCACCCTGCCCAGCTGCCCCCTCCCCCCCTTTTCCCGGAGAGCCAGCAGACTTTCCCCCAAAGCCTTAAGGGCCAGTACCTGGAGCAGGGGTTGGGAGAGAGCGTCCAAGAGGAACTTGAGCTGCAGGGGTGGGGGGAAGCGGGTGGTGCAGCTTAGGGCCACCTTCCTGCAGGCTGGAACCTTCTAGGAGGGCGCGAGGGGGACAAACGGGTGCCAGCTAGGGAGCCTGGAGTCCTCACTAGATGAAGAGAGAATTTTCTGAGGTTTAGGCCCCCCCATGGTCTCTTGGAGTGTGGTTGGGGGCGGGGCGGCTAGGGCAGGGAACCCCAATCTCCCTGGCCAGACAAACCATTCGCTCTTGCATCTCTGACCCGCACACCTAGTCCCTCACCCCTCTGTTGGCCCCCGAGTCCCTGATCACCCTCCTTCCCGTTCGCCACCCCCGAAAAGAGTGAGCCTTTGCCATCACCGTGAGTTCTGGGTCCTTTGTCGTGTATGCCACAAATCGCCCCAGATCTCCAACGGCAGCGTGTCTGTGTGTGTGTCTGGCACACGCGCTCAGCTCCCTGCCCCAGACCTGGCTGGCTTCCCTGTGCTCCCCCCTACGCCGTCACTCGGCCGGGCATCTGTGGCCGCAGTCAACTGGATGAAAGCTCGATCCCCGCCTCATACCCTCCGGCGGGTTACTCGCTTCCAGCCTTCGAGTCTTGAGGGCTCCCCCCTCGGACCCAGTAAGGGTCCGTCGCGCCCGAGCGCACCACCCTCCCCGGCTGAGAGGCTGTGGGGCGGGGCCAGCAGGCAGAGGTCCGCCCAGGAATGTGGCGGCGGGGGGGCGTCGCTGTGGGGACTCCCAGGCTGCGGGCTGAGCCCTGCCAAGTAGGGGAAAGTTCAGAGCTGGAGACAAACAGCTGCTGCTAATAGAAGCCACATTGGTGCTTTGGCCGCGCGCCTGTCTTGATTGGAAGAGAGGAGAGTGGGGGAAAGAGGAGCTGCCCGGGGGGCCGGAAA